CTCCGTCGTCGGATTAATTAAAAAAAATCAAAATCAGCCAATTAATTATGGAAATTATTCTCAATTGACTCTAATACTTTTAGCAGAAAATTGAGAAAATTCCCTCACCTCAGGAGTATGCAAGAAAAACTACTATTTTTACTTGTAGAGGCTCCGTCGTCGGATTAATTAAAAAAAAAAAAAAAAAATCAAGATCAAAATCAAAGTCAAATAAAAAAAATTCAAAAAAAAAAAAAAAAAAAAAACCTGGAGCGGCTCGGATCGCTGCTCGGCTTGGTTCGGCTCGGCTCGGCTCGGAGGGGCTGAAACGCGCGGGTCAGAAAGCGGGTCGACGCTTCGGGTCGGGTCGGGTTCGGCAAAACGCGCGGATCCTCTTATTAACTTAAAGCCAAAACGACGTCGTTTTGGGAGGGTATAAAAGGCACCTTCCTCCGTTTTTCAGCAGACCGTTCCTCCCCTCTCTCTCTCTTCTTCCCTTCTTCTCTGCCTTCTCTCTAGAATTTGAAGAACGCCGGTGCCAGATTCTGGAAATTTCACCGGAATCTGGGAATTTCACCGGAAATTGGCCGGAAGTTGGCCGGATGGTCGCCGGTTTCTGGGATTCTCCGCCGGAAACTGGGTCTGTCGCCGGAAACTTCAAAGTTCGCCGGAATTGTCGCCGGAATATTCAAACTCTGCCGAAAAAATCAACCGGAATCTGGAATTTCCAGAAATTCCCAGAAAAAAAAAATTCAAAAAATTCCCAAAAAATTTCTGATGATTCCTAGAACTCTCCTAAACCTTTTCTTAGCCTTCTATACTCTTCTATTCGCCTTTTCCCCTCAAATCAGTAGCTCAGGCTCACTGTTTTTGTGTGTTCTTGAACTGTTCCAGGAGGTGCTTTATATAGGGATTGATCAAGAGTTTCTGATCAATCCCAATTCCTCCTTGGACGGGAATTCAGTCTTTGAATCCAATTGGACTCTCTTGATTGAATTCCCATTCCCGGTAGGATTCTTCAGCTTCAATCTTAGCCCTCCAAAATCAAAAATAAAAAAATACTAGATAATAATCAGATAAATCAAAAGATATTTAAAAAAAAATATCTGATAATCAGGAAAAATCAGAACAGATAATTAAAAATAATAATGATAATAATAATAATAAAAAAATAAGATAAACCCAAGTATATATTACAAAAAAATAATAATAATAATAAATATATAACTATATACATATAAATCTAATCTAATAAAAAAATAAATAAATATATACATAATAATAATAATAATAAAATACATAAAATACAAAAGAAGAAAAAGAAAAAAAAAATACAGGATTGAATTGGGCCTTACCCGTTTGGGCCAGGCCCAATTGATCTGGGCCCGGACCCAATTGGGTGTCTACACTACTTAATAAAAAAGAGGTGGGGTTGTTTTAGGTGTGTGTCGAAAACCAAGTAGAGAAAGAAGAAAAGCCAAGAAAAGCAGAGAAAGAAAAAGGAGAAGGGAGAGTTGGTTGAACGGAAGTCGATCCGTGATCCGATTGAGTTAAAACCTTGTCAGGAGGTTTATGATTCAGAGTTCTACATTCTGAACGGTTAAGATCGGGTTTGAAGCTCTCTAGGAACAAATCCATGTTGAGTCACTTATTTGGTGAGATTTCTCCAATTGTTTCTCTAGTTGTTGATTAGCTCTAGTTTTAGCTAGAGAAGAACTTTGTATAACTATTATTTGATAGTGAAGACTTTTCTGGTGGCCCGTGATTTTTCCCTCTACACTAGAGGGTTTTCCATGTAAATCTTGGTGTGCTTTATTTTTCCTGCGTATTTGATTATTGATTGTTGTCTATTGCTTCTGTATTGTTGTGATTATTGCTTCAGGCGCAACAAGTGGTATCAGAGCGAGGGTTATTTTGAGACATCGATACAGAAGCAACCCAGGATAGAAGTAAATTCTATTTGAGATCATGGAGGGTGATACAAGTTCTATGATAAAATTGACAGCATCGAATTATTCAATTTGAAAGCCTATGATGGAGGATCATCTATACTGTAAAGATTTGTATGAGCCAGTATTGGGTGATTCGGCTAAACCAGCAGATATGAAAGATGAAAGCTGGAAGAAGCTAGGTAGAAAGACGCTGGCTACAATCAGAAAATGAGTTGATATCAGCGTGTTCCATCATGTAGCGCAGGAGTCAGATGCTCACATTGTTTGAGAAAAATTGGCAACATTGTATGAGAGAAAAACATGTATGAATAAAGTTATGCTTGTTAAAAAGATTGTAACTTTACAGTACAGGGATGGATGATCTGTTACAGAGCACTTGAGTGATTTTCAAGATATATTTAATCGGATGACTA